GAGGAAAGGAAAGAAAACGGCTATGCGCGTTGTTTCTGTGTCCAGTTTGTTATAGATTACGTTAATTGGCTGACAGTTGATAGTGGCCATGGCAGATTAACTCCACATACCCTCAGTTAAACTATTGGGATTTTGTCTTTGTCACTGATTAAAGCAGCTCTTTAGTAGTAGCTTATAGAACTTCTATAGAGTATCTTAGATCATTTATCAAACATCTGTCTGATGTAGACTAGAATTTATATTCATTTTAGTGTTGAGACAAGTAAGATATGGAGAGACTAAGTGTCTCTTGCCTGAATGACTTGTGCAGCAATGACGGTTCAAATGCTATGCTTTTATTCTTATCCTTTAGAGCAGCAGACAACTGCATGCTTTTGAAAGCTGCATTTTGTATCTCATTCTGTATTTTGCATAATTGTGCTTGGATTTTTAAGGGTAGGGGAAGAAGCATTGTAAAGGAAGGTATTTTTTGTGACTGGTCTGACTTGCCTAATAAATATTAAATAGGAATTTAAAATGCATTTACTGTGCTCACTCTTGTTACACATATCACAGGCAAGGTATATAGTAATTATGTTATATAAGCTGTAATAAATCCATTAAGCCTGACTAACCACTTCTTTTAACCTTTAAACAAGCTCCTTTCAAAATGAATATTGTTTCTTACAATGCTTAGCATTCACGTGTGAACTGTTGCATCTTAAGCAGCAGTGCTTGCTCATAAACCTTGGTGTTGCTTCTCTTCAGTGCATCTGTAAATCTTTAAACTTCTTTGCAAGCGTGTTGGAGAGCAGCCATATGCTGAAAGATGGGAAGATAAGTTACTCTGTGGGTTCTTGCTTTAGGTGCAAGTTAGTTACTGGTACCAACAGAGGCTGCAGTGCATGACAGTTCTTATATTCTTGACCTCAATAGCATTCCTAGTGTTGTATCTTTTTTAAAAAAAAAAGTATTAAGGAAGATTTTAACTACTTTCTTACAATATTTGAATAAAACATACTATTGCAGTAACTTGTGCAAACCTTAGCTGAGATTCATGAGTCTCTAAGGAGGTGTGGTAGAGTATGCAACGTGGGTACTTCGATCAGTGAGGAATTGACTTTGATATACCCGTATCCTTCTGCCGCTTTTTCCAAAATGGGAAGTGAACAAGCGAAAGTATCAATAACCGGTGTTGTCAGTTATGTAGTCGTGCTTTTATGATGACTCCTGATAAATTCACTAACAGTCTTGTAACAACAGAGTAACTTTTGCTGAGACAGGTATTTGCTTCCCAGCTAGCTGAATTTTGCACGGGTGTTCGTTGCATAAAGTTGTCCTGTGCTTTTCAGTACAACCTTTGTTTTCAGATGTCGGAGGCTGTGCTGTACGTTGAACCATACGTTACTCACAATGCATTTTAAAACTTTCCAAGGTAAAGACAAGAAAGTGGGGGTGGGATTAGTGCTACAGGATGTGGAAAGAAAAAAGTTTCTAAAGAGAATAGAGAATGTGTCTGCAAAACTTGCTAACGCTCCACTGTAAGGGTAGATTTCCTCCGCGTTAGTTTAGTTAAACAGAACTTAAGATACATCAGAAGATGTGCAGGATGGGTTAGCAAAAAGAACAGTATCTGCTGCCTCAAGACAAATTGTGATATGTAAATTATTGGTTTATGTATACTATTTGGACTGCAGTTTTTATACAAAGCAGACTTTACATTTGAGAGTAGCTGATGGAGCACATGTAAATGTTACAGAATTTGAGTATTAGACAGTAAATACTTCAGATAATTAACCTTGTTTTTACGCATCGCAGTGAGTTCTAAGTAGGATGAGGAGGAGAGGACTAACTTCAGCTGTGTTTTCTGCCTTCCTGTTTTAAATAGAACCTTGTATCTAATGTCCAGAATGTGGGTATCTTACACTAGGCTTCTACATAAATGTAGCATATTTTTTTCTGAGACAGATTCCCTGCGGCTCCCTTTTATATTGGTGACACAGCTGGCAGGGATCCTCTCTGAAATTCAGATCAGTTTTATATGGGTGGCAAAGTAAGTTTTAAGTCTAGTGTTGGACATCGAGGCTTGCTCTTGTTTCACCTTCAGATACAGTTTTACTCTAAAAGGAAAACTTTGGGGTGACTTGGTGGTAAGTATGTGGAGTGAAAGCAATGCAGAGAGGGTGGTTTCCAGCACAGGACTGCTTTGGAAGGCACTACACAAATCATTACCTGGACAGATGTGAATTTAAAAGAATAGTGGAGTCATAAATCCATATAAGCAGCATTAAGTTTAAGTAACACTATTAAACTAAAAATATCCTCAGCAGTTGGATGAGCTGAAGGTTTGTTACAATTGCTGTAAGTTGCGGTGACATTTTTAGCTGAGGTTGCATGGTTTCATTTAAACTTTATTAAACAAACTGAAGCTCGAATATTCCCTGGAGAGTTGGATGCAGCACTAATCTTCTGTTAAACTGTCTTTAACTTTATTGGAAACCATCCAGCTAAGGTAGCATTGAGAAGGCTTGTATTAGTAAATTTACCTAGACAGAATGACATAGTCTGTGAATTTTCCTTTTGTGGAAAAGACCATTTGTTTCAATAGTGGGTTTTGGAAGTAGGCAGATATATTTTTAAGAATTAGAACGCAGTATGTAACTACTGAAACCTGGTTTTGTTATTTTAAGTTAAAACCTTACAATAAAAAGTTAGCTTCTGTAGTCTTGAGGTATAAAGAATTAGGTGTGCAGTCCAATTGTGTTGATTTCTCTGCAATAATATTGAGCTTGTGCTGCCTGTTACTGGTAGGAGTGATGTGGAGATGGTTTTTGCTCTGTTGACTACCGTAAACTTATTTTGGGAAGTCTTACGTGTTCTGTTTTTGACTGTCGGGTTATGAATGCAGCAATAGAGTGTGTGATAGTGTAGCGTCTGTCTGTCTAATGAAAGCAGCTTGTGAATGGTCTTTTCTTAGGTGTTTGTAGACAACGGTGTCCTGAAAGTGTTTGCTAAGACTGTGCCTTTGGAAAAAGTGAGCGTACTTAATGAAGGAACTTAACTCAGTGTAGGAACGGGGTTGATAACTACACTTATGTCTAAAGGTGGGATTAAAAATAACTCCATGGTCTGTGATGCTTGCTGTGTAGGACTTGTGGAATTGAGAGAAAAAAGGTAGCTTGTGGGTATGTGAGTGTGCTAATTTTTAATACTATTATGGTAATAGATGTATTACATTTTAGAAATGGTCCTTTCACAATTTAAGACTTAGTTTTATTTCCTCTCAACATGCCGTCATGTTCTATCTATATGTTGAATAATTGGTACTTTGGTGTTGGGATTTTGTGTTCAAGTATTTTATTTGTCCTCCAGACTCATAGTAAACATTGATAATGTCTTTGATTTCTGCTCTGCTCATTTCAGTAGTGCTTTCATGTGCCTGGATCTAAATGTATAGCGATTTTTTTTATTTTTTTATTTTTTTATTTTTTTTTTTACAAAGCTGTGCAGATGATTTTAAATGGCCAGCATCAGTCATTTTAATGTGTCCTGGGGAAGGATTGGAAGTAGTTACCTTTCCTGTAATTCCATGACCTGTTTTGTAGTTTCTGCATGCAAACAATAATATTAAGTGGTCTCTAGCACTAATGACTTCTTTTGAAATGTAACATGGACTAGCAGTGACAACATCTACTATTAAATGATACGCTGACAGTTCTTTTTGTTAAGGTCTCAGTAGTGTTGTTTGACAAGTCATCTTCCCAGCCTTCTCCCCGCCTTCAGTAGAGCTCCAATCACTTCTGTGTTTCATGGTAGATGTGTACGTATGGGATTCTCCTGTTCTTGAACATCGCCTGAAGTACATGCTTGGCAGTCGTAGGTGCTCAAGGAAGTACCAATGTCTGCTGCCTGCAGTGCTTTTGGGCGTGCTGTGTATTCCCAAGGTGTCGTTGGTCTCAGTTTCATTGCTCTGTTTGTTGTCTTTAATCAGTACAGTGAGACCTATTTGCTTGGAGTAGAGTCCTTCTGTCCTGTGAAACAGCAACCCTGCCAAGGTTAAATTAATTCACTGCTCTCTGTTACACCGAAGTTTAGCACAAGAAATCCCTCTCTGCGTAGTTCTGTCACCAGAGCGGTGGTTGCGTTTCGGTGGCTCCTAGAAACATGTAGCTTGTTTCATGCACTTAGGGATGTAATGTCATACGTAAAATATCTCTGGAGTGCTAATACAATCTGCAGTTCAGATTGTCAGATTACAAATTACTTTAATTTCTGTTGGTACGTGTGAGTCTCATAAAGGAATGGCCAGTAAATTTTATGATTATGAAAGTACTTGACTTACTAAAATCACTTTATATTCTAGCCTATTACATATCGTCAGTACACATTTATTAGATAAATAAAATTTTCTATTAAAACAGTAATTGGAAGTTTTACATGGCTACGGGCTGTTGTATTTCTTTTAATTAATCCTAGCAAGAAAATAGTGCCCAAGTGTAACTCGACAAGACTGTAGTTGTGTTCCTGTTGAGAAGTGCTTTTGCAGTAAGTGGGCTCAGCAGTGACAGCAGCTGGAAGGTGACTGGTGGTGTGTGAAAATGCTCTCCCCAGAAATCGTGGGGGTTGTCGGTGCGACAGGAACGCAGAGCTGTGCTGATGTGCCACTGACTTCATACGGAGCCTCCTTTGTCCTCCCCACCATGCTGCCATGCTGGGGAGAAACTTTAAGGAATTGGATCAAGGGACATAAAATCACTAGTCATAAATGAATGCTGGGAAAAAAAAAATCCTCATAACTTCTTATGAAAATTATTTGAATCTTCTATGCAGCCAGAAAACTAAACCTGAAAACACCGATAATGACACAGTGCTATATTAAGTGGCTCTATATGTTGTGTATGTGTCAATCTTATTTTTGCAGAAAGCAATAATTAGGTTACTTGAAAGTCCATTATAATATATGTAAAGCTGTAAGCATCTGGTTAGTTAATGCTTTGTTTGTGTATAAACTTTTTTGCCGAATGACCACAAACCAGATTGGATTAACTGGTGAGGAGTTCAAAAAAGTTAGCAGAGGGAGAAAAAACCGAAATGCAGACTCTATTTGTATTAAAAGTGTGTGCTCATGCATATAGAAATGCAGAAATTAAAATATTTTCATCAAAGAGCTGTCATTAGAACTGTTGTTAGATTTCGTTTAGGGTCTAGGTTGTTTGCTTCACCTTGCCGAAATAACGAAGCCAGTAGCTTCCCCTTTTTATGTCCCCTTAGCAATCCCAAGCTTTTACTCATTGAATGTGTGGTGGGGGTTTGTCCCTGTTGGCTGAAATTTGCTGTAGTTACGTTGTGCATCAGAGGTGTGGAGGAGATGGGCCGAAGCATCCCTCTGCTGTGAAGCACCTCTGTTAGTTTGCTGCACGTGTTTGGAGGAAAGGCTGTGGAGTGAGGATGGGTTTCTTTGCAGAATCTTCTATTTTGCTTCCTGTTTCTGTAATTCAGAAGAGCTGGGGAGCATGGAGAATGTTGCTTCAGGTTGTAAATGTCGTATCTGAGAGTCTGTTTTCAGTTAGCTAGGGAAAATCTTGGAAGAAAACTCTAACTGGTATGCCTGATGGTGTTTGGGCATCATTAAAGCACCACGTGTGAAGACAAAAAGATGATTACTCTATGGATAGATATTAATATCAAATAGTGAAATTTAAACACCATATAAGGCAGGTAACAGTATTATACCAACATTCTTCTGCCATATGATTGAAATATTCATGTTTTATTAAAACACGATGTATGATGGTGATAACTTGTATATGTCTTCTGCCAAATTCATGTTAATTGATAGCTCCAGTGCTGTGTGGGTCATGCTTTAGGTTTATTTCTTAGATCCTTTGGTATTTTTTTCTGGTCAAAAGTACCCAGAACCTGTAGCAAAATTTGAAAAGAAACATACCCCAGTTTCTGTTACACACAGTTGTTAAGTGAGGTCACTAGTCTGTTTCAGTGTTGACTAGGATTAAAACTAGGGAGCAATGTTTCAATGTGATTTAAAGAGTGATTTTTCTTTTGATGAATGAATTAATTGAAATGTAGAAGTTTTAAAGAGAGTGCTGGATTAAGCTCTCAAGTGTTGTGTTTTGTTTTGGCAGACAGAAAGCTTGACAGGCTTTTGGCCGTGTCAGTGTTGTTTCTGTCTGGCTTGTTGTATCAGAGTAAGGGAAAATGCCTTACTATAAATACAGTGAAACAACCGTCATCTACAGCGTCGTTTCTTTGGCTTCGAGATGGTAAATAGCTCTTCATGCACTACATGGTAACTTACGTGTGATCCAGGTCATGGTGTGTTACTCTCTGCAACTTGATTTTTGACAAAGGACTTGTTTTGTTCAGTGAGATATTTTACTACTTAAACACTTTGTTAGAAAGTTGCTTTATGCTTGTAAAAATCTGAAAGCAGGGACTGCTTCTCGGGAAGCTCATGTGCAAGTATAAATAGGATGTCATCAAACTTTTCACATTTACAGATTGTGAAGAAGTTCAAACAGGTTTTGGCTGGCAAGCAGATCTTGACTGTGCAAGAAAATCTTAGGTGAAGACTTACATTTAGTCCAAAGTTTAACTGTAGTATTCCTGTTAAACTGTACTGTCTTATGAGCATGTAAGTGGTGATTAAATATTTTGTTTTAATACAGAAAAGTAGACTGGTTGCCAGATGAAACTGCTTGAAGCATGCTGCTGGAGCTGCTCCTAATAATAATCACCACTGTTGATTACAGATAATTTCTCAGGCTTGTGTGCAATGTAAAATTGATCATAAAGCTAATTTATTTTCCTTTTGTGTGACAGTAACGGTGCTGAATTTAGAACAAATTATAATATGCTATTGTAGTCAGAGAACACATAGGCAGTGAACCGTTGTAATCTTTGATGTTAACTTTAGCTCTACTTCACTTTTATTTGGGAAGATTAGATTATTAGCTCTCATTTTGTAGTAGTCAGATCTTCCCACTATTTAGGTGAAATCATGCATTTAATTTCTTGCTATCTTTTTTTATTGTAAATGTAAGGTGTATAGGATTTTGAGAGTCCTTAAGCTATTGCATTTCTGCAACATCTTTGTTGACCAAATCTTTTTTTCCTCCTCTCTTCTCACTCGACACAGTTACAGACATAGAGCTAAAGCGACTGAAAGATGCTTTCAAGAGAACTTGTGGACTCTCATATTATATGACTCAACAGTGCTTCATTAGGGAAGTTCTTGGTGATGGAGTCCCTCCAAAAGTTGCTGAGGTAACGTATGAACTTGCTGTTTTTCTAGTGAGGCGTATGCAGTTGATAATGTACACCTATAGATGTACATACACAAATATGCCTATACAGATGCATGAGCTAATTTAATTTCTTTCCATTTTCCATACAATATCACAATGTTCATTCTCTATCTGAAGGTAATGTTCTGCACTTGAATCATGGGTTGTCAGTGATCTGTGCTTGACTGAGCTACTGATTCCAACCCAACTAATGAGTGGTAGATGACTTTGAAGTAAACCTGAATAATATCCAGATGCAGATTTGGGGAAGTAAAATGTTGGGAAGTTTTAACATTATAACAGAGGATTTTATTTGCTCTGGAGATGTACTTGCTTTTGGTTTCCATTGGCTTTTACTTTGTTTTCTAAAGTGCAGATTAATCTTTACAAGCTCTTAAAAATAGTTTTATGTATAATAAATGTATAAATAAACTGAAAAACACCCAGAATCACAATATGGATTAATTTGGATATATCCAAATATAGAATATTTGGATACAAGTATTGTGTGTCTATATCTTAAAAAATGATAATACCATCCTGCGCATGTCCATGTTTAAAAAAAAGTATTTTCTTTCATAGTGCTACCCCTGTCTTGAGAGAGGAATTAATATGTTGTTGGTAGAGAAGAATAAGATTAGCCAGACCTTTCAAATGATATCTTGCTCCATGTCATTTCTAATCACAGCTTCTATTTCTGTATCTTCAGTGTTATTGACCTCACAGGCAGCATACGAGTCTTCCAGTTTTATTTAGATAATGCCAGCAGTGAAGGGTGCGTTTCACTGTGGTAGAGCGTTACTTTTTTCCAAAGCTCAATCTTTTCTCCATTATTTTTCCTGGGTTTTGTGAGTGTTGATAAAGAGACTGATGTTACTTAGCTCTGTAATACAGTTGACAGTTTGATTTTTGTGTGGGTATTCAAGTGCTTAACAGGAAAAATTGCAATGGGTGTTCGCACTATCAAATCAAAAGAAAGTATATGGTTTGCCATAGCCTAAAGCGTGTCTTCAGTATCAATTTCTGTATATGTTGTCTGGACGCTATGACTGTTAGTAGCCCATCAGATTAAACAAAAAAAGTGTATCCTACACTGTATAGGATTGGTTTTGAAGGAATGCCTTGTAATTCCTGGCTTCAGGATGTGGAAAGGCAGGCAAAGTCATTAGGCACCTTAAAGCCTGGTTCTGAGTTTTCAGCCTTTCAATAATTAAAATTGATCATTTTGAGCCTCAGATTGCTGGGCTTCTTTGCATGTTCTGAATAATAGTTTTTCATATCTGAGTAGTGTTATGCCTTCAAGAATTCATTGAATTGAAAACAGTTTTACAGCAGGGACATAGAACAGTGAACTGAAGTCAGTGGAACTTTGGTCAAACAATTTGCATGATTGTCGTGCACATGAAACGTTTTTAAAATGTTCAGGGCGGTTATGTTCTGAAAGGATGTCCAGAAAAAAATGGAATAGAAGATATTCATTAAATGAAGTTAAGAGATGTGCTCTGTCTGTGTTGTTTTAACTGCAGGAAAGCTGGTTAAGTGGTGAGATGCGTTTGTTTTCAAATCTAAGGAAATACTGCAGTTACTGTATGTGGTTGCGGGCGCTTTGATAGAGAAAGTATTGTGTAGAGAAAGTAGCTTTGTATTTTAGACTGAGGAGGGGAAGAATGTTGAGAAAGGACCTTGTTCCTTTGGCCCGTGCAGTTATTTAAATGACTCATCAGATTGTACCTTTTATATATACCTACATCTGCTGTGATTGTGAGACGGTTTATGCACAGCCTTCTGTGATGCTTACTAAGTAGTTCAGTGTCAGTGCATCTTTTTCTCCAAATGTGACCAATTGGTTAACAAGCTGCAGTCCAAGTAATTCAAAGAGAAGAGGGATGATGCTAACAGAAACATGAAGGACACATTGAGGGGGCTGCCAAAAGAACAGGAACACAGACTTCTCAAGGACTGAGAGAGAAGAGGGGTCATAAGGATAAAATCAGGAAAGAATCCAGGACATTTTATACTCTAGAGAAGGAACCGAAAGAATGCCTTGAGCATCCTCTCCTACTCTTCTGGCAGGCTTACTAGAGTGTATGGGCACAGGGCCAGGGATTTGGACCTGAAGGGAACTGTTTGGATAGACTGAGCCATTTTTTTTTAACAGAAAAGGAACCGTATCGTTACACTCTTCAGTTATCCATGAAACATAACATCGGACTTAAAATTTATTAAAAAAAAAAAAAAGGTGACTGTACCATATAATGATACTGATTTTTACATTCTGAAATGTAAATCACTGTGATACTGTCTGGGTGTGGCTATTTTAAGTAAAGCTGCAGCAGTGTTAAGTAATTTTGGAAAATACAGAATTGTGTTATATTTTGATGGTGCATCTTGTTAGAGGACATTTTCCAAATAGCACATAAATGTGAAAAATTATGGAGCTCCTTCTTTGGAAATGCACACTAATTTCTGTTATATATTGTTAAGTAACTATTCAGTGTTAATAAACTCTTCCCAAAGAATGATTAAGCAGCTAAACTCAACATGATGTCAGCTGCCCATGGTTGTAATTACATATGTTAAATACTAACACATTGGACATTATCCATCGAATTCCTTTTCTGAGTTTATATCGTGAACAGTCATTGTGTTACATTGAAATAATAGATAAATGTAATATTTGGTATTCAGCTGATATCATAATTGTACATAAGATGGACAATGCTCAGTAGAAGTGGGTGGAAAACCTCAGAAATTGGTATGAATTAGAAATACACTTTCAGATGGATGAAGGGAGGAGACAGCTTTATTCAAGGTAATTTATAAAATAGCTGTTCTTAGAAAGTCTAAAAGCACAGAAAGGTTATGTTTGAGTGATGGAGAATAAAGTATAAAGAAAAGATCATATTTTATTAGAATTTGTGAAAGAAAATCTGATTTCCTGTTTGTTTATTCATATATATATTTTTGTCTTGAAAGTCTTGTTAATCTGAAATGTAAGAATTGTCTTCTTTTTTGTGCTCTTTGTGGGTTTTTTTTGATCAAAAATGGTTGTATTAAGACTTAAGCTATGGTGTTCAGCAGAGCTAACTGCATATTCTAAAAACCCTAATGATTCCAATATAATATAAAGGTAAATTGCTTACTTAGGCAGTATAGCCTTGAAGGCATCTTGTGAAATCGGAATGATTAGACGTTGAAAGTGCGGAATTCAAGTCTCTGCCATGACATTGTCCATGAAGCACATACAATCATTGTGTCCAAATAGAGCGCAAATTTAGTTTTAATAATTTAGCCCTTCAAGCATTTGTAAATGAATTAAACTTCAGTAATAGAAGAGGATGATGTGAGCACCCTATGGGAATGTATTTAGGTAGTGCTATGTCTTAGAGTGGAATGAAACTTCAGGGTCTACCTAATGTTTCTGTAGAATTAGATCCCTCTATCAGCCTCATTTACATTTACTTGCCTTCAGACATCTTTTAATAGTTTTAAGTGGATAGCAATGGAAAGTGATAGCTTGATGGGTGGACAAGGGGAGGAATTGCTGAAGGTAACACGTAGACCTATGTAGAGGTAAGTGTCTTCAGGGAATCTGTCTGCTTCAGCATTATGTCTGGTATTAAATGTGATAGAGAGGTGAACAAAATTTTAGAGTTTTTTACTACCTTGTTGCCTGATACTTCTTCAGAGATCATCTAGAACACATTCTGCAAATGAACTCTGCTAATTGTCTTCCTATTGCTGGAAAGGCAACAGTAGTAGACTTTTCCACACCTTGTTGGACACCAAGCATGAAGGGCAGTCAGAGCAGTCAGTCCGATGTGGCTACTCTTTCTTAGGTATTTCCTTCTTTTCTTTCTGCCGCTACAGCCCTATGTGGCTTAGCCGGATCTATCTAGTGCCCTTGACAGGCCAGCGGTGGGTTTTGCTTGGTCACTCCCAGTCGTGGCTTAATTTTTACTTGAGATGGAAACCGCACCTGAGAGTGTCATTCAGGTGGTTCTGGCATTCAACCCTCCTCTTCTCTCCTTTCCTTGTGCCTGAGGGTTCTGGCTGCAGCGTTGTGACTGCAGTTGCTGGAGGGGAAAGAGGGCTTTTGGTTCCAGTAACTCTTCTTGTTCCACTTAACCTTATGAGCCACTTGTAGAATCCCAACTCATTTAGGCTGAGGTACTTGAGGAAACACAGATCAGTCTGAGCTTTGTCGTTAGATGTTTCTGAAGCTCATTTTGAGCTGCACACCATTATCTTCAAGAGACTTAAAGGAGACATATGCCAGCCCCTGCAGATGTTCAACATCAGCAGATGTTTAAGTCAGTAGGCATATAACATGTTCTTTGGGAATTTTTCAGCCGATTTCTTCTTTTTTTTTTTTTTTAATAGGAAAAACTATAGGTATGAAGCCTCACAGTGTGCTTATTGCACCTGTTTACAGAGGTTTCCTGTAACTGCTGTCAGTTTGTTTCTGTCTTTACTCAGAACTGTCTCTGAAAAATGTCAGATTACTGTCACTGTGATTTACAGGTAATTTATTATGAAACATTATTGTAAGTTATTGAAGTACTAAGGAAGCAAAATTTTCTTTTATTAATAACAAATAGTCAACAGATGACCTCAAAACCGGTTCTTTTTAACAATACAGGAAGACTTTATTTTCTCTGATGTCTGTTTCCAGTGTTCAGCTATTTGTTTTAAGGTAAATAAATCTTTTGGCAAGAAATTTCGTTGCACTTTGCTTTATCAGTGTAAAAGGCACAAATTCTTTTGAAGTACTTTACTAATTTCTTAGCTTAGTTAGTTACTAATATTGATGGTTATCAGGTCTTGATTTCCTGTCATATAGACTGATCTCAGTGAGATGGTGAGTTTTTTCATTCTTGTTTGAGAGACATGGCACTCATTTTGCGAAGGGATTTCAGCCTGTTGAGAATTGGTTTCTTCACTCAATTGTCATGTTGTGCTGTCTGACTCCTTTGAAGGGCACAACTGATAATGGGCTGCGCTTGGTTACACAGAATGTCCTACCTGGCTATGGTAGTGGATAGAAAGTCTCTTGTAATATTTGAAATGCCTTTTGTGTGGTTATTTTGTACCAGTGTCACAGGCAGCTTAATCCTGGCTACTTAGTGTCTCCCCCTTTGAGCTGGATTAGTGAAATCTGATAACAAAAATGGTTAATTCAAATCCAAGTTCGTTCCCCGATTTCATTCATAGTCCTGCTACATGAATGCTTGTTTTGGCAGAGATGTAGGAAGTGGAGTGTGGGTGGGAATGAGTTGTTGGAGGCAGGGGAATGGCTAGGGGAATGGCTATCGCTGGTTTAAACCAACAGTGAGACTACAGTGTTAGAGAGGCAGCAGATGGAAAGTACTTAATATTTTTTTTTTTTTTTAAAAAACTGTAGGATGTATGTGTCTGCAAAGAGAGAGGCAGAATTCTAATACTGAAATGTAACTTTGGTTTATTTTTTTAAATCTGGTTTAGAATTATTCCTGTGCTTTTTCAAAGATGAATTTATTATACTAGAGTGTTCACTGGATGTGTCCAGTCTGTTTATGATCCTAATTCTGCTATTTGTGGGAGGTTCTCATACAGGGGTAGATTTTGTGCTGTAACAACTTTTATACTTCAAAACTAAGTCCTAATTAATATGAGAATTTGTACACCCATGTAGTTACTTTGGTTTATGATGGTTTCAAAGTAGATTGTTTTGGTGTGTTTAAAACTTTAACTTGTTGGGTAGATTCACAGGATGTCACACACTTAAGGTAATGTTAGTGACGTGTTTTTTCCAGAACTTTTACAGAAGACAAGTAACACTCCAGTTGCACATACCATCTCTTACTGTTGTTTTCTAATCACCTGTGAGTGTAAATGCCTTCTTATGATTATGGTGGAAGTTTTAAAAAAAATTAAACTTGTTTCAGTTCTGTAGATGGGTGGATTTTTGTCTGTGGGCCCCAATGTGTCGTGGCTGCTTTGGTAGGCTTGCAAAAAAGGCTAAAATTCTTTGTGCAGGCATTTGTAATTTCAAAGGAAAAAAACCAAACCAAACCAAAACACAAAGTTTAGGATGTTAAAAAAAGTTAAAAATGCTGCTTTAGCTGTTTAGAATTGTGTCTGGTTGTAGTTCATATGTTTAAAAAAACCCCCAAAAGGCAGGGGGAAGGGATACAGGTGTTGCAGTTAAGATCTGTGGGTTTCATCCCATGGTTTACTCTGCTTTGTGGATAATGCACAAAATAATGAATCTGTCACAATAATTCTGAAGTCCTGCTGACCTGACGTCTGCTATTGCTATTTGGCTAAATTCTTATATAAAGAATATACTCAGGGCTTCATTGGAGAAAAATGAAAAAGCAGTACATAACTGTGTGTACACATTCTGGTTTTAATATTGTTTATTTAGAATGTAATTCACATACCAGCAAAGAAAATACTTTTTAAAATGTGCACAACACTTTTCTTAATAGAAGTTGATTTCTGTTCCTTTATTTTTCCCTCTGAAAAAGTTGTATTTAAAAAACAAGTTCAGCAAATAAGTCTGCTCTCCAAACCATTATCAGTGACAAATCACTTTGTTCTGGTCTTTCACAGTAATAGCTCCCCATCAGCTAGACTTAATACTTTCTCTTTATGGTTAGATGCTCAGCGTGATACCCATAAGAAAATCAAATTATAAGACATAGACACTGAAATAATTCTTCTGTGTAAGAATAATTGATAGGTTCTGACTAGTTTAAATTTTAATACCTAATGCAAATTTGTGTCTTGCAGTACTGATAAAGTACTGGTGCTTGTAGCAATAGATTTGGGATTACAGGAGGAGTCCATGTCTGAAGAGCAGTACAGCATACATATTTTCATTTGTGCTCTGCAGCGTTAGAGGCAAGGTGAAGTAATACATGGCAATAAGTGAGTTGGTAATTCTTGTCTACTAAAAGTAAGTTGCTGTTTGTCCTAAAATGACTGACTGACTTTGTATCTCCTGTATCAGTGTTGAATCACTGTTAGGATGCTGTTGAGTAAGTGAAGCTGCAGTGTACAGACTTTTCATGGGGAAGGTAAATGCTTCAGCCCTTCTACTGGCAGTGTTGCTCCCGGTGGCTGCTCTGTGGATCTTGGAGTAACTTCTGGTTAGAAGTCTTGATTTCTAGAGCTTTCTGTTGGCAGAAAGATTTAAATACGATTGTTAGAGCAGGGTACTAAACTGGAATGGTCTTTCTACCAACGGCTGCAGTGTTAAGGTCATTAAGGTATAGTTGATGGAAGGTTTTTTTGCCGCATGTTTCCAAAGCAGCAGTTTTTGATGGCTTACTGAATGTGCATCCCCTGTGACTGGGGCAATGAAACACTTTGTGCTCCAACAACCTCTTGATGGATTTGAGACTATCACAGCCTACTCTGGAGAAGACTTCATCTTTATTACCTTGATAAAGAAGTCTGGGGAGATAGCACCAGTGAGCAAGCAAGGAGCTGTCTTCGTTGGGGGATTCTAACAATTTTTTTTTATACTGCTGTTCATGAAAAATATCTGCGTTTCACAAAAAGACCTTGAAAAGGCTATTTTATAGGTACTGGAAGAGCTACAAAAGTGTAACACAATTAATATTAGAAGTGTGTTCAGCTGCATGTGCGGTGAATGTGCCTAATAAGACAGAGCCTCAGCATAAGTTGTTGCTTTTAGTTCTGACATCACTGTCCTGCCTGTTAACTTTTTGATTAATTTCTTGCTTTTATTCATCTAGGTTATCTACTGTTCATTTGGAGGAATATCCAAAGGGCTGCATTTCAATAACTTGATAGTCGGATTAGTGCTACTTACAAGAGGCAGAGAGGAAGAGAAAGCAAAATGTAAGTAATGTGACTTAAAACAGTTACAATAGGATAGTGGATAGTGAGTATACAACACACTTAGGTAAAGCAAACATAGATTGTGGTATATATGAAGTCCCTGTTTCTGTATGTAGCCAGAGCATACATTTGCCAATAAAGACAGTATTTTTTTAGACTTTTTTTTAGCTGTATATTTTGAAATTCAGTGCATTTTGGTTTTCTGTACTCACCAAAATGAAATATTTGATAAGTCAGCATGAATGTAAATGATAGGATCCTTCGGAAAGACTGTTTATCACTGTATGTGGGCAGAGGAAGGAGGACAGCATTGATATTTTTCAAAACAATTGAAAGTATCTGCCTACTGACTTCTGTTTTGTCTCCCTTGTTAATCTGACTTGATAGTATTTGTCTTCCTTTTGGTTAGGAGGCAATGGTAAAAGAAAAAGGAGATACTTGACCTAAACCTTGTTGAGCTATATTGAAATTGGATCAGTCTAATCTTTTAGTCCTTTAGTTGTTGCACAGCTTTAGGCATTCTCAGCCAGTTGTAAACTTAATATTTGAAAACTGTGACCACCGTAGTTGCTTAAACATTTTTCTACTTCCTCAGACATTTTCAGTCTCTTTTCTAATGAATCTGGGAGTTATGTTGTCCGTGAAGAGATGGAGAAGATGCTGCATGTGGTTGATGGGAAAGTCCCAGAGTCACTCAAGAAATGTTTCTCTGAGGTATTTCGTACAGGTTTTATCCTATTGCAATCCTATCCTATCACAAAAAAAAAAAAAAAGAGAAAATTACGAGTAATTTGTTTTTATCTGACATACACATGCTCATGCATGTATGGGAACAGATTGATCATGTTTAAATTGGGTAAAAGCTCATACTTTCTTATGTTGTAATGTTACGTGTAATTTGTATTGATGTGAATAGCAGCTTGGTATATAAACGCAGGCATTCTCTGTGCTGCTTTGCTTACTGTGCTGGTTTGAAAAGGTATCATTTCCCAAGGGTAGTCATGTTATCAAGTAAATTTAAACACTAATATTGCTAGTGGAATTTTATTCATTGGTGTGGATGTTTTATTACAATTGGGGAAGAAATCTAGAACACAGATCTGAGTGGGGAAAGAAAATCTGCATCCTGGATTTAAAAATGCCTGCCAGCAGTGGTTGCTTAAAATAATAGTTTTACAGTATTGCTTTTGTCTCACTGTGCCTGCCAGGAGCTACAACATTTATTTATGCTTTAGGTTGTTTGAGAGGTGTATCTTTATGAAGCTTGCTGAAGTGCTCCTCTGAAACAGGCTATTGTTACTTTTGAATATTCACAGGTACTTCTTTGGCACTAGTGATCCTGATGAATTGTCAGGGTTTTGTACTTTGATTGCTTCACGTGTTATCAGAGGACTATAGATCAGCAAAATCTAGTCATCATTATACTTCCTAATGAAAAACTAGTTGTCTAGAAGCTTTATTTGTGGATATGAGATTACTTAATTACCTTAAATTTTATTGTGCTATATTGAAGATAACTTTGGTTATGGGCCTTGGCTGAGGCAGGCCCATTTCATCTGGCGGTGGTACTATCTTGGCTTTGTAGGTGACGATGACATTCTTCATTCTTGGCTGGAATCAGAAATCATATGTATACTGCGGTCCAGTTTCTGGAGCTGACCCACTTCAGTATTTCCTGTTTGTATTTTCCCATCAATATGGTGTGATGAATTATACCCTAAAAGTTAATTGCACACTGTCCAGGAAATCCAGAAATAAAGACTTGCAGGAAGAGGAGTATCAATATGGCTTCATACCATTTTCCTGTTCAAGAAAATGCTGTATATTGATTTTTCTTTTAAAATGAAAATAGTGTAATAACCCACTCAGCAGGATTTACTGGCCTGTTGTTAATACTAGGTCATTGCTGGAGAGTGAGAAAGTTTAATGTTCCTGCTGTGGGCCTACCTTCCTGCTGTATGGCAGATGAGTTTGTGCTTTCAAGGATGGTGTTTATAGGTACTTCAATGTTTATAGGTACTACAATAATTCTTCAGAATTATTGCATGTACTTGTCTAGAAATATGAGCTTTAAAATATGTCTTGAGTTTTCTCACTCTTGTTTCTGAAATGCAGGAAACAAATTCAGTGATACCTGTATTGCTCTAGTTGCTCAAGTTCCATCATGGCTCAGCTGTGAACATGACTTGCTTCAAATGCTTTTTTCCCCCCTGTCCAGAGTTTTCCTGTCTCTCTTCTTTCTTGTTCTTCTTCTGATCAATTGGAACAACACAGAACCTTAGTGACTGACTCTGTTTACAGAAAGCAGTGCAAAAAGTAGAGAGAAAGTAGAGTGGAACAGATAGTAAGAAAATGATCTAGTCTCCTAACTCTCAGAGAAATTAAAAAATAAAGTAATTGTGGGCCGCTTTTCTGTTCTCTGTTAATTTGGCAGCAGAGTTGTTTTTGCTTAAGAGAGTGGTTCCATAATGGGTTAATTCCTGCGAAGTCCACGTTGTTGAGTTACCTTTTCCTGACTGTCATTCATTCTCCTGCCTTTGTGCTGGCTCGAGTATTTGTTTGATGCCTTGGTGAACTGGATTGGGAAACTGATCTGGCTGCGAAGTAAGCCCCTGTTCTGTAGCTCCTAATCCTGTAGGTTATTTTTCAGCTAGATCTGTTTTGCCACATGACTGCGCTAATGTGATTGCTGTCACAAAAGAGAAAGGATGAAGGATCAGAAATGGTGCTGGTAAGAGGAAGGTTAGGACCATGCTGTCAGTCAGTAGTGTGGATATAACAGATTAAATTGGTGATGAAACAGCAATGTAGCATCTTCGCTTCCTTGAATTATAACCATGTGGAAGTCTCTGAGGGTAGCTGTAAGTATTGGGGTATTTCTGCATGTATTTGTTGGAGAAGAATGTAACACGCTTTAGCTTGGAAAGAGAGACATAAAAAGAATGAGTATCTGGAACCTGAAATTGTCCATGACAGTTGGAATATGAAGAAATGTTTTAGCAGGGATGGTGATTAACCGTTTGAGCAACCTGGCAAAGGCAGTAGCGAATTTTCAATTTTCTGCAGTTGGCAGTTGCAGGTAGTGTGTGGCCAAATGCAAACTGTTGGATTCAGTAGCGGTGTAATTCAGTGAAGTTTAATGGTCTGTGATATTAGGGAAATTTAAATAATGGACGACTTGAAACCTCTTTCACTTTGCAGACCCATGTTTATTTCCCATGGAGTTTGGGATCTCCATATAATGAGTTTGTCTACTGATAATAGGTTTGCATTTATTTCAGTTAGCTTTGTCGGTCCTGTAGAAATTAGTCTGCTGATCCCCTAGGGTTTCATGGCCACAGCTTGGAAACCATTCAGCTAAATGGTTTAAACAGCCTCTCCAGCATTTAAACTCTGTGAATCTGTAGGGGTTTTGCACTCCTGAGCAGGCAGTTCCATGAGACATCCAGCAAGAGAGACTGAGTTAGGGGATACTGTGAATGTCATGTTTACATGTATGCTCCAAAGTGGGTTTTGGTCAATAGAGGCAAAAAATTGACATGCTACTGCAGTGATTAATCGTACTATTAGTTATTCACAACTCTGGTTTTTCTGTGTGAAGTATTTGTGTACTGGCACGGATGTAACAGAATGTTTATGATTTTATGGCACCTGCTATTTGGCACATAAGAGCTTTTATCTATCGTAATAAATTTAAATTCATAAAAATAACCTCTGTTATTTTGACTTGTAAGTAAGCATATTTTTTCTTCTAATCCCTTTAACCTGAGGTTCAGAGTAAATGACTTTACAAAGGCCATGTTGAGTAGGTGGTTGAAGTGCAGAGAGAGCTGAGTCGTCTAATTTCCCTCCCAGTGCTGTATTTCAGAATGAAATGGAAAAACAGGCATGGCACCAAAGAACAAAATTATTTTAGTACTTATTTTTATAGGAGATTGTCCCAATTCTTGTTCATACAGCTGCTGGATGGTTCCTGTTTACTAGTGCTGAGAAAGCAGAGAAAAACAGCTCACATTTTCGTATTTTTCTTACAGGGTGAAAAGGTAAACTATGAGAAGTTCAGGGTTTGGCTCTTACACAACAAAGATGCTTTCACGTTTTCCCGGTGGCTGCTGTCTGGAGGTGTGTATGTGACACTCACTGATGATAGTGATACTCCTACCTTCTATCAAACCCTGGCCGGGGTCACACACTGTAAGTAAATGATGCTTGTTGTTATGTGCATTTTTTAAAACTGTTTCTGTGTTCACAGACATAGCCTGTTGCCTTGCCGTAGTTGTTCGTTAAATCTCACTGGTCTGATGAGATACGGGCAGTTCTGTTCAGCAAGATGAATTTCTTCTCCATGCTAATCTGTTCTCTGCTTTTTTGTGTTGATGTGTAAAACATTATTATGTACAAGGACGCCGTGGGTCATTATTTTTAAGAGATAACAATACTGAGATCACAACATTTCTTACAGTAGAAGTTTGCTACTGAGCAAATTTAAAAAAAAATAAAAAGGAAAATGTCTTCTCTTTGACAGATCCATGTATCTGAAGTGACTTGGTATTAATGGTGGTTTTATATTTGGTGTTTCAGATATAGTGGATTGTGAAACTGTTGAGACAGTTCTGAAAATAGTGCTTGTTTCAAAAATACGTATTACCTCTTATTTTACTTTTTGCAGTAACGTAAGTAATATTCCTGGCATGTGATGTAGTCAGGGAACTAAATTAACTAAAGAGAAGCCTCCTCAGGATTTGCATTTAGGAATAATCTCCAAAGAACAAGTGCTTCCTTATGTCTATATTCATTTAAAAGAAGGAGCATCTGTTTTTAGAATTAAATGTAAAAACAAAAGGCTGATAAATTATACTTGATGTGCAAGTATAATGTAAGCATACGTTACTAAAGCATCTAAGGGATGCTGGTATCCCTAGGAGGAGAGTGTTTGCTGTTGAGATGTCAGTGATTTGAGCAATCTGGTTGTGTTTATGTACTGTCATAGATTTTCTTTGCTGGTGTCAGCATGGCATTCAATCTTTTTAATGCATAGGTTACTTGAATAAAGCAAGTTTTTTCTCTTGGTTTAAATATGAGCATTAAAATTCTTTTCTGACCATCTGAAATGAAAATACATAATAAAATTAGAAGTTTATAGACAAGCAATACCACTAAGTAGTCTGAGGTCTAATAGACAGGGTAGAGAAAGAGGTATGCTAAAAAAACCCCAGCAAGCCAAACCCTCTTTGAATTTTCTAGGCTCCAGCCCTGGGAAAAATCTCTCAAGCTGTATCAAATTGAGATATGCCATGCCTCCAACCTTGTCAAGTCTCCTTTGCCTTAAGTGTTCAAAGGAAGCTTCACCCCAGGCCTCTGGATGTTACCTCAGAGCTTACTTTGATTTTTTTCATGCTTTGAAATTGAAACTGTTTCAGAACACTTTTTAGTATGCTTTTTGCAGAAGGCTTATGAACTGAGGTTTATAATAAAAAAATAAAATTAAGAGCTACTGTTATAATACGTTTGATTTCGTATTTAATTTTGTTCTCACTTCCATTTTTGATATACCTGTCACTGTTACCATCAGCAGCCAGGCCCTCAACTGCATTGCCAGATGTGCAAAATAGGTGATTCGAGAAAGAAATGGTCTTCAGACTGAAGAGCGTAAGATTCTACTTGAGCCACCTCACACCTATGTTTGTTTATCGAGAAGAAAGTCTTTCTTTCTCCAACTTATAGGCTAAGAGATTTTTTCAGCTTCAAACAAAGAATTAGAGAAATTAAGACTGAAGTGCTATAGTTAAAAGCAAAATTCAGGAGACTGGATGAGAAGCATATTAGAAAAAAATGAACGAGGACAAAATCTGTTCCAATTCTTGGAAAAAAAATTGTTCAGGTGGTTCCATGCCATATTCGTTATCACTGTAGTAAATTGCTTTTTTTTCCTCTTCATTTTGTAGAGAGAGTATTTTCATGTCCTCATCTCAGATTTCTCAACCTTTGTCTTAACAGAATCCCAGTTACTTAATCAGTCTCTATCAAATCAAAGTGCCTTAAGCATGTCGGTTTACATTTGAGCCTCTTTGATTGCAAGGACCTATCAGCTAATCGCGGTGTCTCTGCTACCATTTCAGCCTTAGAATCCTTTCCTGAGCACACCTTCTGCAGGGGCGTAGTCTGTTGTCCATCTGATGTCTGTTGTCCCCTCTAACTTCCAGTTACCTCTTTGACATTTTCGACTGTACAGTCTCAAATCTTGCTTAATTGCTCTTACGTGTATGGACTCCTTCATGAAGCAACCAGCTGTTTTGCTCTGTTTAAACTTTCATGGCAGACTTGGTGATCCTACCTCGGTGTAGCACAGTCTCTGTTGAAATTTCAATCTTGAAATCAGCTCAATGCCTCTTAGAAAGGTATATCTTGTAATTCCTTACGTTACAAGGTTAGAAGTTCAAGTCACATTTCTGTATTTGGTTTCAATCTCTCTATGGTTAAGTTGGTTTATAATAATTTCATAACACTCCTGTGTATTGCGGCATCTGATACTACAAACCAAATTACAGAAGAAAGTGTTCTTTCTTTTCTAGGAAACATGCATGCATGGTTGCTCTTTTACATGTGCTAGTTCATAGGGCTACATGTTCTGTTGGAGAAGTTACCAGATTTTTAAAGCCTTGTGAAATAGGTTTGCAGTTTTGGGTCTCTGCTGGGTGTTTCAACACAACCTGTGTTCTCAGGGAGAAAAAAATGTAACTTCTGAAAAAAAAAAAAATCAATTTCTGTTGCTATATATCAGACCACTGAGAAATTCAGTGTTTTCTAGTAGTTGGTGGTGGTCTCTGTTTCTTTACTGACAACTTACTTTTATAAGCTGTTGGCTGAGTGTACTGAAGGTAGAACTGAGTGAAAAATTGTTTTCCATTGTTAGGATTAACAAGCTGAAAAACAGAAAGTAGTGTGCTGTGTTAGGATATCTGCAGCCCCGTATCTTTCAAATGACAGATAACAGAAAACTGACAGGAATTTCAGATAGTAGGAAGATGAACTGGTGAACTAACCTGCTCGTGAACCTAACCAGCCTCCCCCAGGTCTGGACAAATACTTTCTTTATAACGTATCCGATGATTTCCCTTGTGATTTAGTGTAGGAATCTCATACCACAGATGCAAAAGTAAGGAAAATATAAGTGCTTGAGCACTTGGAAGTAATTGCCGTAAAGTGTGAATACTTGGGGCCTTGCTGTTTTGTTTAAGTTTAATAATTGCAGTCTAATCAGGTCAATCAAAACAATAAGAAATTTAGTATGGAAGTTTTCTTACCGCAGCTGAACATGTCAAACAGTAAGAGCTGTGACAACAGTTCCTCTTCTCTAAATGCAGGCTTGGTTTTAATTCTTTACCCCAGTCTAATGGTGGCCCTTTGTGAGGCAAGTGACCGAACTGATGTTTAGTAAACCTAGGCGAACACTGTCAGCAGAATAACGTAAAAGACTGAAAACTTTCTTCTACCGTAAAAAGAAAACTGATGTGTGAACGGCGGTAGCGCGCTGACGGGTGTCTCACCTGGCTGCTGGGCTCCGGCTGGGCGGAGCGCCCTCTCCTGGCTCCAGCTGCGGACCCTCCCGCCCAGCCTTACCTCCTCTGAGCGTGCTTCCCATTAAGCATCTTGAATAATATGGCAGGGACATGAAAAATTGCATTGATAAAAATAGTGAAAGTTATTAACATTGGTTTAGAAACAGACAGTGAGCATTTTATTGCGCAGCATCAGTGACTCCATTTAAATTTGCTTAATGAGCCACGCTATCAGGGAAACAAAGGAATTCTAATTTTTTGTTTGTAAATAACATTTATTTTGGTATGCAGATGACTTTAATTATATTTCTCAACACATAATTAGAAATTAAATTTTGAAGTTACAGGAAGTTGCACACACTTGCTGCATTTAATCAAACTTTGTTCCATTTCACTTAAATCAGAAATATGAATCATTTCATTTGAAAGCTACCAAAGTTAAGTTTCTCGTGGAGCTTCGTTCCTTTAAAAAAGCCAGTTTCAGGGATATGAGTCTCTCCTACAATTAAGTACTGAGCAGCTAGCAGTAGTCTGGATTTTCTGTTTCGTAGCACGGTTGGGTACGTTGTGAATTTTATTTATTTATTTAAAAACCCACCATATTGAATAGCACTGTAGTGGAGGGTGTAAATCAACCATAAATCCTGTCAGGGACTACTACTAACACTAAAATACTCTGTAGGGGAATATTCCCACAAATCATTATACATCCTTCATAAGTGCAAATTAAACACCTAATCTTCTGTGGTACTCTTTAAGTCCAAATGCAGTAATTCAATAGTACAACAACTCTTGGCCACTGGAAGATGTCATTTTGTTGCCTACCCTGGCTGGTTTGTACTCTTGTAAGTACCAGAATGGAACTGACTCCGTCCTACCTGCAAAGTACAGCTTTCTGTGGCTTAGTTTAGCAGACAGGCATACGGGAACATGAAACACATGGAAGGGTCTCCTCTCCCACCAAGTGCAGACCCTGGGGGGTACTGTATCATTCCTTTCATAAGATACTGAGGCTAATTTTTTAATTTTTTTTTCCTTCAGTTGAGGAAAATTACTCCAGTACATATTCTACTTGTATTTGTGGGCAACTTATGTCTTAATTTTCTGTCAATGTTGTCCTTGGTTTCAGTCTCTGCTCTCCTTCCTTTTTACCATTCAGTATAAATGCAAGTGATGGATGTTTCTTCTTGGCCTTTTTGTCAAAGTAAAATGAGCCTGGTTCAGGCCTGTCCCAGAGCAGGTGCTCCATCCCCTGTTCCATCTCAGACTTGAGTGACACGCTGCTGTCATACTCATTGGCTTTGTTTGAGACCTCATTCCTTCATTTGGCTGGAAATACTTCTTCTGTGGCAAGATATGTGGTGGTTTCTTTTTTATGACTCTGACATTTTGGTGTATCTCAGTGACATGTGATGGGCTTGTACGCTCAGGTTTTCAGTTCTTCTCCATGGGGAGAACTATTCCCATTTACCAGAGGGGTTACTGGTTTCAAACTGACAGACCATGTAATTTGTACTTTTTTGTTATGCGTTTCTTGTCACTGGGTTCTTATTGAATAGCATCCTAATTCTCCTTTGAATTGGAGAGACTCTCTTCTGTCCTTAGAAAAATTCATCAAAGTACTCCTGCTTTTTC